CTATTTATAACATTTATTCTGTCTCCTTCAATGGAATACAAGTTGCATCGATTTTTGTCTGTCTTGTTCACTACTATATCCCCCAGCATTTAGAACAGTGCCTGGCATATAGTGAGCATTATTAAATGAATAAATGATTGAATGGATGATGTGTTGTTTTGATAACAACTTTATTCATTTGTTTTAATGAATAAAAAGTTCTTTAATTAGTACATCAAGTTTTTTGTGCAAATGTGGCTTTTAAAATACATCTTAAATACATTCTCCACTGATCTTATTTATATTGTGAACTGCCTCAAAAATATTTTTACATAATTTGCAAAGTGCAAATTTTATCTCAGCTCCTATATAAATCAACATGTATTCTTAGTGCCATAATTGAAAATTTTTATTAAAGTAATGTTACCTCATTACAAATTAACTAATAAGCTACATTCTTTCAAATGGAGTGGTGCAAGGCACAGTTCTAAACCAGGTTCTCACTTATCCAGTGAGACCCAAGCCCTTGTCATACCGTGACAAAGCTATTGAAATATTATTCTAAGTGGTTACCCGGTCGCTATCTCTTCCTTCCTAAACATACGTTTTATTCTCAGATCAGTGTTACTAAGGCAGATCTCTGGTTATATGAAGCTCAAAAGTCTTCAGAACTCCAATCAGCTCGTTGTGCTTACCACTTCCACCTCCAACTCCTTGCCTTTCCTTACAGCCTTCCTGAATCTGATTTATTTAGAATTCATATCTAGGCTGGAGCAGCACTGTGATCAGCACATAGTGTGGTGTTGTTATTGGTTCTTGTGACTCGGGCTCTAAATTTCTATTTTAAAAAATTAAGATTACTTTTTCCCTTTTTTATACCGACATTGCTCTAAGGGTTTACACAGAGCTGATATTCAGCTAAACACTCCAGATCTTATTTATATGATCTTCCATCAGGCCGAGTTTCACACATTCTTAGTATGGTTTGTGAATGAAATGCAACTGTCTGCAGTTGGCCCTTTTCATTTTTATTTTTTTGTTAATCTTCACCCAAGGAATTTTTTTTTGAGGGGGAGAGAGTGGAATGAAGAGGGAGACTGAAGAGAGAGAGAGAGAGAGAGAGAGAGAGAGAGAGAGAAACATTGATGTGAGAGATACACATCAATTAGTTGCCTCTCACAGGGATGGAGCATGCACCCAAGGCATGTACCCTTGACCAGAATTGAACCCTAGACCCTTCAGTCCGAGAGCCGACACTCTGTCCACTGAGCCAGACTGGCTAGGGCTTTGGCCCTTTTAAAATCACTACTTTTCTTTTTGAAATTATGTGTCTCTTGATTGTGCCATCTTCTCTCCACTTCTACTGCTATTATTATAGCCCTCGTTGCCTTAAGCCCCTGTGGAAAAAAATCAGGGAGGGAGGAAAAGAGGAAGCAAGGGGGGACAAAGAACATTATTCCTCACATCTGAAACTGTCTCAGCCCCCTCCTCCTCCTAAACTATTTCCTGTGTAGCTGGGGGCCGGGGGAGGACAGGGAATCTTTCTAAAATCAAATCTGGTGATCCCATCCTTCCCCAGATAAAATTTCCTCAATGGCTGCCCATTACCTTCATCGTGGCCTCAGACCTTTTTGTAATTCATTTCCCACCCACATCTCCAGCCTTATTCCTCGCTGCTTATCACACCCCGGCTCGCCCTCTCTGTCTCTGGCTTTGCACACATTGTCTCCCTGGGTTGACAGCCTCAGTCCCCAGATGTTCTTCCTGTCGAACTGTAGTTCCTTCTTCAAGACTCAGGTCTGGCACTTCTTGCTCTAAGAAGCCTTCCTTGTCACTCCTAGGGTACACTGTGCAGGGCCCTGCTCTCCGTTCCAGTAGCACCCAGGTTTACCTGTGTTATGACGCACATACACTGGTATAGAATTGCCTATTCACTTTGCTTTCTGTCCGACACTCTGTCCACTGAGCCAGACTGGCTAGGGCTTTGGCCCTTTTAAAATCACTCCTTTTCTTTTCTGGCTCATGCCCAGACTGTTTGTGAACGAGTGTGTCTTTCGTCTCTATAACTCCAGTGTTAAGGACAGTTGCCTGGTGTTTGTGTCAGTTTTTCTTGCCAATAAAATTATTCCTGATTTTCCTTTTTCTTGTTCATCCAAGAAGAGACACGAGCAAGGTCAAAATGAACATGGTAGAATTTGATTTAAACAAAACTAGGGTATCAGTCTTAATCTTTGAATTAACATAGTGAGCATTGAAACTTTACCTCACATTGTCATTACAATACAAAGAGTGTGATGTGCGACTATTAAAGCTATCAGTGAGATCATTTTAATTTACCCTCACCATAAAACAGAAAATAAAATAGACAGAAATAATGTCATAAGTGGGGATTCTCTGAGACCCAGTTTCTCGGTGCCAATTGCATAGTGAAACTTGCACTGTGGTCTGGGAAATTGAAGACATTTCTGTCCTGATTGGTTTGCCTTTCTGACAAATGAATACCTGAAAGACGACTGAGCACTGCCCTTCAGCCATGGCCCTCTTCAGTGTTATTGTCACTGATAGGAGGAATTGTTTTACTGGAATGAGGGGGTTATGTAATCTCTGAAAGATTTCTGATGACTTTTTAGTGCCTTCTTTTCTGAGATAACTTAAGTATATATTTTTTCATTGGTAGTCTTTCAAGGGCCCATCCAGTTGAAAATCTATAATCATTAAGCCCCAATATTCTTCAAATAATGAAGGGCTCCTCTTTCTACAACTTTAACTTTACTTTCCCATCCACTAAAGTAACCAAATGAAATTAACCTATTTATTGCTAACCACTTTATTCCCTAGGCTCTGTCAGCAAGAGTGTGTGTGTGTGTGTGTGTGTGTGTGTGTGTGTGTGTTTCTTAACAAATCTAAAAGTAGGTTGCTCATCAGAAACACAATTGTAGTCATCCTTTCCTTATGGTACCTAGATAATTATCAATTGATTAATCTGTATATTTTAATGACTTGGAATCCTACTTCTCTAAAGAAGCAGAAAAACGTTTTCAAGTCTAAGATAACTAAGACTTCATTACTTGTTGCAAAATAGAACTCATTTTAAGTGGTTAAATCCCACTGGGGAGTGCTAACGTGAATAATTACCATTACATGCAATCTACCAAAATGAGTAGTTTCACCATTGCATTTAGTGATAGTAGCATCTTCAAATATGATTTACATTTATATCTCTAATGAAAATTAGTACATTCTTCACACTTTCTGATTTCTCTATCTCCCTTCTGTGGCAGCATAACTTCCTACTGCTTGTATTTACATTTGTAAATTACAGGGTAATGTCTGTGGCAGGCAATGGATGAATGTGTCTTGCTGAGGGCCTGCACTTGGAATATCTGAATTCCTCAAAAAAAATATTTTATGGCACAGTCCACATTTCAATTTAATTCCTTTTCATTTGAAATGTGTTTTGAGTACCCTCTATGAGTTTATCATAATGTAGAATTTTGTGTCTCCAACCTGAAAAATTATACTAAAAGGCAGGAAAGTGGCCTGGGGACAGCCATGGTTGAAAAAACTTGAATGACAGAAAAATTGCTACCATATCTGGAATATTTGTTATATGTCAGGAGGTATGGTGTGTGCTTTATGTGCTTTATTTCCAACCCTTGTCATGGAGGAAGTATTATCTTACCCATTTTGCTGGTTATGAAGGTTAGAATTCGGTAAGTTGTCCAAGGACAATGCTAGAAGGTGCCTGGGCTAATATTCACAGAGGTGTGTCTGATGTCAAAGTCTGGGCTTCCATTCTGACACGAGGCCACAAGTAAGAGTACGTAAGTGCCACAAACTTTCATGTTACCTCTATTGTCTTATCTTCCTAGACTCTAAAGAGACAAAGCATTTTCCTGTCCCCCCCACATCAAAACATATATATACTGACAGGGCCCTGGTTAAGCAGAGTTAGGAATCAGTTCATAATTTCCCTCCCTTTGACTTCTGGCAAAAGCTCTTTCTAAGCCAGAGCCATTTGTTCTTCTCTAATGACATAGAGGGAGGATAGCCTGAGGCTTCCCGGAGAACCGCAGATCTATTTATCATCTTTTTGTTTGTCCCCTGGAGGGTAGCCCACATGCAGCTTTAACTGGTCTCAGGAGGGCAGATATGTTGATTCTTTTTGCTCTATCAAGAAAAAACACTGGTAACAAGATCTGTCAGCTTTCTAGAATTATGAATACAATTTTTAAGCAATTATAAAAGTACTAGAGGCCTGGTGCACAAAATTCGTGCACTCGGAGGAGTCCCTCAGCCCAGCCTGTGCCCTCTCACAGTCGTGGAGCCTACAGGAGATGTCCAACTGCCCAGGAGACGGGAGAGGCTCCTGCCACTGCTGTGCTCTCCAGCTGTGAGCCTGGCTTCTGCTTGAGTAGCGCTCCCCCTGTGGGAGTGCACTGACCACCAGGGAGCAGCTCCTGCATTGAGCATCTGCCTCCTGGTGGTCAGTGCTCATCATCACAACCGGTCGTTCCACCATTAGGTTGATTGGCATATTAGCCTTTTATTATCTAGGATATGTATATTTACCAAAACTTATTCCTTGCAGCAAAAAAAATATTTATTCAGCTGATTTAGTTGCAATCAAATGTAGTGACCAGAAGACATATTAAAGATGAGACATGTTAAAGATGCTGAGAAACTCCACAGCTTGGAAAATATATAATTACCAGTTTACAACAAAAAACAATTAACACCTCCCTTAACTAGGAATAAAGAAATTTGGAGTAAGACCAAGAGCCAAGTAAGACCTAGCCAGGATGTTAGAACCTGAGGGTAGGAGCCCATTGGCTCAATGAGATAGGACTCTTCTCCCAGAAAGAGTCCAGATTACTCATTCCTAAAGAAATCATAGGCAATGCCTTTTTTAAAAGATCAGAGTTTCTTTTTACTGAGACAAAGAAGTAAAAATGAGCATGGCTTTCTGTCTTTGGCTTCACCTCTCTTTCTTTCTTTTTGCCTTTGCTCCTCTTTCCCAGGTTTCTAGCCAACACCACTTTCAGAGGCCTAAGTGGTTCCATCAAAGTAAAAGGTTCCTCTATCATCAGCTCAGAAAACAGCTTTTTCATCTGGAATCTGCAGCATGACCCCATGGGAAAGCCAATGTGGACCCGCTTGGGCAGCTGGCAGGGGGGAAAGGTTGTCATGGACTATGGAATTTGGCCAGAGCAGGCCCAGAGGCATAAAACTCACTTCCAAAACCCAAGTAAGCTACACCTGAGAGTGGTTACCCTGGTCGAGCATCCATTTGTCTTCACAAGGGAGGTAGATGATGAAGGCTTGTGCCCTGCTGGCCAACTCTGCCTCGACCCCATGACTAATGACTCTTCCATATTGGACAGCCTTTTTAGTAGCCTCCATAGCAGTAATGATACAGTGTCCGTCAAACTCAAGAAGTGCTGCTATGGCTATTGCATTGATCTGCTGGAAAAGCTAGCAGAAGACATGAACTTTGACTTTGACCTCTATATCGTTGGAGATGGAAAATATGGAGCCTGGAAAAATGGTCACTGGACTGGACTAGTGGGTGACCTCCTGAGTGGTTCAGCCCACATGGCAGTCACTTCCTTCAGCATCAATACTGCACGAAGTCAGGTGATAGACTTCACCAGTCCTTTCTTCTCCACCAGCTTGGGCATCTTAGTGAGGACCCGAGACACAGCAGCTCCCATTGGAGCCTTCATGTGGCCACTGCACTGGACGTTGTGGCTAGGGATTTTTGTGGCTCTGCACATCACTGCCATCTTCCTCACCCTATATGAATGGAAGAGCCCCTTTGGTATGACTCCCAAGGGGCGGAATAGGAGTAAAGTCTTCTCTTTCTCTTCAGCCTTGAATGTCTGCTATGCCCTCTTGTTTGGTAGAACAGCAGCCATCAAACCCCCAAAATGCTGGACTGGAAGGTTTCTCATGAACCTTTGGGCCATTTTCTGTATGTTTTGCCTTTCTACGTACACGGCAAACTTGGCTGCTGTCATGGTAGGTGAGAAGATCTATGAAGAGCTTTCCGGGATACATGACCCTAAGGTAATGCTTCCTTTTTAACTCTCTTTATCATCCATTATCACGCCATATATTGTGTCGTATGTTGTAGTTTGTTTATGTTCTTTGATCTAACACAAAATATTCTCTCAGCTCTCTGTAGACCAGTCCAAAAATCTGTTGCCTTGTTGAATTATATATTTTATTGTTGTATTAAGTGAAACAAAAAGAGTGAAGAGTTTCAGGGGGCATCTGTGCTAGAGAAAGTCTTTCTGGTAAAAACATCTATTAGCACAGTTTTTCCTTGTGTTATTTGACTGACAGAATGGCTTTCTGGGAATAATCTTACCAAGCATATTCACCCAAAGCATATTTCAAAAACAGATTATTTCTCTTGGGAATGAATGGAAATAAATAGTATAATCCATATTTTAAATAGTAAAGAATCTTTTTTTTTACCATTGAAAAATAGTAAAATGTTAAGAACTAACATTTTATCATAAGCTCCCAAAGTCAAATGCTAGGGAGCTCAGTGGGTTTATAAGAAGGAATGCTGAACTAACTGAGGTGGCAAGATTAGCTAAGAACAGGGTGTCCTTATAGAGTACAAAAAGCTGTAGAGCTGGTCACTTTGGGTTGGGGGTAGATCACCAACAGTTACATTACAATTGCCCACGGACATTTAAGAAAATTGTATCTAATATAGGCTGCCTTTTATATTCTAGGTATTTGACATTAAAGGTAGAGGGAAGGAGGAGGGTAGAGTTCAAATGAACTGGTAAAGCAGTGGTAAGTTTCACAAATCAGAACCAAAGATTGCCAAAATTAAGTCAGGATGCTATGCAGGAGAAACATAAAGCAATGATTTTAGGGGATTAAAAGTAAACTCATGAAGATAAACCATACATAGCAGTAAAACAAGTTTCTAAGCCAAAGAAACAATCATTCCATTCCCCACTCCACCACAATAGAAAGGTGAAATTATAAACCTAACCCAGCCCACAAGACAAAGTGAGTAAAACTGGACAAGGTCAAGTTTCTGTTATAACTAGCAAGTTCTTCATGCAGTGAGACAGGCCTAAATGTAACCACATTTAATTTCAGGTAATAAATTAATTTCTGCTAAGGTTCTCAAAAATGTATATATTTTTCCTACTGTTGTTTCTATGTTAAAGTCTCATTTACCTTTTCTTTTTTTTTCATGTAAGGACACCCAGATTATTTGACTAAGCCATACTTGACTTAAAAAGTAGGATTTGTGATTTGGATTTATACACAGTTCATTGGTGAATTGAGTCCTGGCTGCTTAAGTATCTGTAATCACAATATCAGATAACTTTCAATGAACGTAATAGCTCCATTTTTCTTATTGATCATAACTGTTTCGCATGCTAGCTATACATTTAACACAATTTAAAAAACTGTTAAGAGTTAAGAATGTGAACATTTCATTACCATTTCAGCATTGAGATTCATTTGCTTCAACCAACTAATTTGAATCAGAAATACAATGAAAAGCAAAAGGCTGTGCAGGACAGACCAATTTGTGATTCACTACATGTTGCAGTAGCCAAGGCAGGCTGGAACCTTTTTTTTTTTTTTCCTGATGGGGTGAGGAAAGAAATAACCTTTTTTCTGGCTGCTCTTACAGAAAACCCCAAGGAAGAGGGACTGGCTTGCTGCGCAAATGAAATTCAAGAGGATGGTTCTATCCTCACCTAGCTATTTTGCCAGAATAATTTATTTTACACTAAAAGTAATACCTGTAGCTTCTCATGGCTCCTGACCATGGGCCCCCACCATGTCTCTTCTGGAAAGCAAGTTCCATGCTTCAAAGCAGGTGGGCTCTTGAAGCATAAGACCATGAAAGAATCTCTGAGTGACATATTTAAGAGATTATATGGGTATTTCTCTGACATAGAACTAGCACCATTCATTATAGGCAATGCAGAAAATAGAGCAAAGCAGATAGATGGAAACAAACACCATTGGCCCATCATCCAAAGGTATTTTCTCTTGGCATTGTGAGATGATTGACAGGTGATAAACATTGCAGTATTATGTTTATCCAACAAGGTCTTCACCTGGGTCTGTGATCTAAGGTATAGACCTGGGCATTATTAGAACCTTCCAGCCATTGAAATCCAATGTGCTGAGGTATAAGACAAGATGAGAAATATCACTTGTGAAGTACATTGAAAAATAAATCTTACCTCTGCTCTTGGAGTTGAAGTGGCCCAGCTGAAAGGATACGTGAGCATCGGAAATGAGCTTTCTGCTGATTTTAATAGACTTTCTAGCTCTTCTTTTCCAGCTTCTTACATAAAATGCCCCCTTTAGCCCGATTCTCTCCAATATTAAAAAAGTGTCATCTCCTTAGAGAGAATAGGAAGCTGTGTCATTTTTGTACAGGCAAATTATGGTACTGCTTTAGAAAAACAGTCCTAGTGAACGTTAAAGTAAATATTTAAAGTTAAATAGACCCGCTGAGAAGGCAAGAGCAAACTTTAACCAGAAATATTAAAGTAAAGGACATTCACATAGCTCTAGCAGGGATAAAGCATTTCCCCAAACAATAAAGACCACCTTTATTGATCTTCATAAAGCAGCATGTGGCTGCTTCATAAAACATATGAGTTCATATAATAAAAGCTGGCCTTGAAGAAGGGAGGGATGCCAGAACTCCAAGGCAAACAAGACACTGAAAACAGAGTTTGAGGGGAGAGGAAGGAAAACTGAACTATTCCAAACCATTCATTCTTTCTTTAATTCATCCAATAACAGCAACTTCTGTTCCAGGCGCCATGCTAGGTGGCTGGGTATTAAATAGTGAGCAAACCGATATTGTCCTTGCAACGTGGAGTTATGGGAAGAAAAGACATTTATCAGGGGAGCCCATAAACCAGCTAATTAATGAAACCGTGGTAACTGACATAGTAAGCAAAGGCAAATTATAATAGTATCAGAGAGCCTCACAGGAGACCTGATCTACCAGAGAATCAGAGAAGGGCCCCCAACCCAGACCCCTTCCCTTCGGAAAGTAAATCCAGCTTCGATCTGAAGGATGTAAATGAGCTCACGGGAGTTGGGGGTATTAGGAGAAGAGCATCTCAGGGTGACTGGGCAGCATATGCAGAAGCCCTAGACTGGAGGGAGATGGATGCAGTTATTACCCCCCCGTCGTGAGCTAAGAGATTAGAAAGCCAGGAAAAGGAAACAAGTGGATTTTGATCATCAAATGCTCAAAATTTCTAGAGAGAAGTTTTCTCAAAAGAAGAAAAATCCAAGCAATGCTATAGTCTGAGGATAGATGTATTTCCCATGAGCCCCATGTACTTCCAGATCGAAAACATAATGGGGGAAACGTTCCACTCACTTTGGCAACAAGAATTCATACTAGATCAGAAAAGCATCCTCTGTAGGAATTGCATTACAGAAATCTTTAATGTAGAAACAAAAAAGATAATTTGGATAAAAAACTGAATGTGCTGATGGTGGCTTGTCAACATATTAAAAACCATTGAGTTGTGCACTTTAAATGGGTAAATTGTATGGTATGTGAGTAATATCTCAATAAAGCTGTTTTAATAATAAGCAAGCAAATAAGTTGCCATGTTACCAAATTGGAAGACTGAATATTGAAATATGTCAAATTTTCTCTTAGTTTAATAGCTCTAAAGCAAGTCCAATCAAAATCCCAAAGGACTTTTCTTGTTTGTTGCTTAATCTTCTAAAAATAATATATTAACATTAATATAAAAATAGATTCGAGGGATTTGATATTAAAAACTTAATACTAGTAAAACTAACAGAGAAGCTAATATTCATTGACCGCTCCCATATGCCAGACACTCTTGTAAATCACATTAATATAATATATGCCCCCCATTAAGTAGTCATGGAAAAAATAATAATCCAAGTGAAGCAACTTATACAAAAAACGCAAAATAACAAAAGTAGTTCAAAGTCTTGTCAGAGCCCTGACTGGTTTGGCTCAGAGGATAGAGCATCAGCCTGCAGACAGGGGGGTCCCGGGTTCAATTCCAGTCAGGGGCACATTCCAGGGTTGTGGGCTCAATCCCCGGGGGGGTGTGCAGGAGGCAGTTGATCCATGGTTCTTTCTCTGCATTGATGTTTCTATCTCTCTCCCTCTCCCTTCCTCTCTGAAATCAATTACATATATAGATGATAGATAGATAGATAGATAGATAGATAGATATAGATATATATAATCTTGTCAGATTTTAATATCAATATTAATTATATTTATCCTGAACAATTAGTTCTTGCTCTTTCATTCTCTTCCTTGTTGTCAATGTGAACTTGGTAAATGGCAAGATTCTCTTTGTGGGATATCATCTGGAGAGCTTGGAGGCAAATGTCTTGCCTACTAAGAGCAAGTTTATTGTCATTGGCATATGCATTTAAGCATGAGTCCTGGCTTTGTGTTGTTTCCCTTTCTACTTCATCTTATTTTAATAATGCTATTCTGCATTTTGTGACCTTTAAGCTGCTTTAAATCCTTTCAGGAAGAGAGCAAGATATACATTAAGTAGTGTTCAAATCAAATAATAAAGAATATTAACAGCAATCCAGAAAAAGAAATAAAATTGACTGAAAAAATATAAAAATGTTAAATCTTACTTGTAATCAAAGAAATTCTAACTGAAACAGTAATGAAATTATATTAATTTTTTTCCTCTTTTATTTTTTATTTTTGTTAATCCTCACTTGAAGATATTTTTCCATTGATTTTTAGAGTAGAGTGGAAGGGTAGGAGGGAGGAGAAAGAGAGAGAGAGAGAGAGAGAGAGAGAGAGAGGATATCATCATTGTGAGAGAGACATATGGATTGGTAATCTCTGAGATATATGCCCTTCACTGGAATCGAAACCAGGACCCTTCAGTCAACAATGTATTGCAAAGATTTACTACTGTCTTACTCAAAATAGCAAAAACTTGAAAACCAAGTAAATGCCCAACAGTAGCACAATTAATATATTGCAATATTTCTCCATTGTGTTATAAAAATGTAGCCAGTAGAGA